TGGGGATATTCTTAACGTGAGGCTGGAATTTTCTGATTGTAGCCTCCAAGATGGAGTCCTACAAATAGTATCCCATATTGCCACGTGGCTGGGTAATGCTCGGCTTATGTATTTACTAATCTAAATTACTTAAAGTCAGTCCATAACTGAAGTACACCGGATGCTGTCATCTAATTACTCATTGAAGTAACCCTGCATCCCTCTCAAATATTGACTCACTCTGAAAGACATACACACACGCTCGCACACACATACATACATGTATACTATATACATATACCTGAGTAGAGTCCCATGACCACATCAGGATCCGCTTATCAGTGGTTTATATCCCAGGCTCTACAAATTATGGCGGCTTGTTTATAAAGATCGGGGCGGTGGGGTAGCCTAGTGGTTAAGGCGTTTGCTCGTCACTCCGAAGACCCGGGTTCGATTCCCACATGGGTTCAATGTATGAAGCCCATTTCTGGTGTCCCCGGTCGTGATATTTCTGGAATATTGCTAAAAGCAGCGTTAAACTAAACTCACTCACTCACCCTACAAATTATGACGGCTTGTTTACAAAGATCGGATCGGCCCTCCTGAGTCGCTCTTCGGCTGTTCGACACCGTGATGCCTATTTAGAAACGATACCCAGCAACATGCGCTGGTCGCAAGATATGGATGGGGTTGTCAGGCTGGGTAATTTGGTTGATGGCGTGTCTTCGAAGGCGTAGATCGTTTCACCTAGAAACAAGTTAATCACCCGTGAATCTGTTGACCGCTAACAGAAGTATGGTCAAGTTCAGCTTGTGTATGATGATAAGTATGATAATAATTTTCATTTGAGGAATTATGGCAAGTTTACTTGGCGGAAAGTGTCTCCCAAACACACCCGTTGACCATGTCCAGAAGCATACCCTCGATTTTCAATGCAGTTTGTGGTCCTGTCACATGTCGGTATTTAATCTGGATGGGTTACTATGTTCAGTCATTTTCTGCAACCATGGTACGAAGAAGATTATCAGATGGCCAGAGATGGCAAATTACTGGTTTGTATAGCTTGTTTTCATTCCTTTTAATGTTCCAGGTGAGCTATGCAGATCTCAGTCTCCATCTGCAAACATCTCTCGCTTTCCCCCGTGTCATGACCTCACTGCTGCCTACCGACTTGAAGAGACCCTGGGTGGCCCTCGTTTCAATCTCATTCTTACTGCACACACTAACGATATTAAATCTAACACGATATCGATATTCTACCTTTTGCCTGTTATTAGATTTTGGGAAATATCCAAATATAATCACAGAGTACGGTGTATGCAACCCGTGAAGATCGGGTTAGAATTGGTCTAACTAAACAATGCTCGTAATAGGCAACTAATGGGATCGGATGGTCAAGACCCCGTTTCACAAAGCGATGGTAACGCAACGACAGTTTAACATTGATTTACGACAGTAGTAGCGCTACGATCACTTTGTGAAACTGGACCGAGGTCCAGATCTATGCGCATGACATCGGGCACTGGATTGTCTGGTCCAGATTCGATTGATTTACAGATCGCGGCCATATACCTGGAATATTTCTGGTTGTGGCAACAGATTGGTATTTGGACGGACGGACCAGTCATTATTGCATGACTCCGAAATACATGTCAAAATGATCACGAATCCCTTCCTAATATTGAATAATGTTATAATGTTTTTTTAAAAAATGTCTTAATTGTTTTTTAACAATGCCTAAAAGATAAAATGTTCATGCCTTTTCTTGACAACAGCCTAACTATTGAATGACCGTAAACTACATCTTCACAGCAAATATTTTAAACGCTTTCTTTATATAACTTTTTTTCTTGCCTTCTTTATGAAACTAATAATAATTTATGTAATTAATCGTAACACTATTACACACCAAGCATAGTGCAGCTTCTTCGCTGAGTGGAATGGTCGAGACAGGGTAATATGAAGTGAGCTGGTGGATTTCTGAACTAAATATCTGAAAAATGGTTCGATTATACAATCTGATTAGTTGAGGCTGCCCAAGAGAATTAATTAAGCCTGAAAATGTTTTACATTCAATAACCTTGTGTTATAATTATTTGTTTGGTTATAAATCAGAAAATAAACCTATATTATAATGATACGTTGATGCATGATGTTTTGCCTTGAGTTAATGTGCTGTATGTTATTTCGTCACATCGGTATATATAAACAGACTTCTACACTGAGGTTATTAAACAAAATGGCAACAGCTGTGGGCCGAAGCGTGAGCGAGTCAGACGTATTTGAAAAAATACCAGTTTTGCAGAGATATTACGAACAGATGCAGATCTTACTACTTTGGCAGGAGCTTGATCAAACGAAGCCGGGCTTCGAACCCGTCTACATGATTTCTTTTCACGTCTAGGGGACGCAGCTCGGCGCCTTTGGTCATGTGACCACGGATCCGTAGGTGCCTTGCTGGAAACCCATCAAAGGATTTGTCCTTCAATGAATCAAATGTTTGTGATCCATGACACCGTCTCAACGTGTGAGACTGAGTGAGCTTATAGCTTCCCATTGTGAACTCTTTCCGGGAATCCAAATCAGTAAGACGAGTCAACAGATTATCCACAGCGCCTTAGATCTCTGAGGTAACTGAATGCTACCAAGGAGTCATCATGTTATCTGGAACCAACTCAATAATGCCATCGTGGCAGTTCTTTAAAACTCAGCTTCGAGCCAATTCATAGCCGAAACAGAACAATATAATTATGATACTACATGATAACCTAGGAATCAAGTCAATTTAACAAGAAAGAATACAAGACAACGTGATTCTTCTGTGCCAGAAATTTACGTTGCTCCGAGTTGACAAGAGCGCTGCTAAAATCTTGTAGGTTTGAATATCGAAAAGCGTCTATCCATCCAACCACAAATCGCCAGAGGAGGTGATTTCAAGGCTCTCAGTCTTAACCCTCTTAAAAGACACGAACAGCATTTCCGTCACATCAGAGCAAAATATATGTCTCCAAGAAGACATCAAGTACATCGGATCTGAAAACCAATACAAAGTAGAAGTGGGTACAGATATTTGGCCCTTTGTTGAACTACTATCATTACTCACCTTCTTCGTACGATAATCTTCACCGTACTGAGGATGAAGAAAAGAGGAAGAGGAGAAACAATGGGTAAAAGACATGCGGTAGAGGAAAACTTAAAGTCTAGAGATTGACGCGGCAGAAAGATCCAGTACATCAGTAACCGGTGCAAAGAAGAAGATATCTAAAGGTGGAGAGTCAGATAAAGTTGAAAAAGAAAAAGGAAGTGACACGCCCAAGGAAAATGTCACTGTCACTGCTCAAAAGACCGAAACACTGAGGCAAGAAAGACTCTTGGGCACCTGGACAATCACAAGGAAAAGACGGAAAAATATGATGGACGACATGAAGCGACATCAGCGGATGAACAGACCTACATCGAAGGGGAACTATCAACATGTCACAAGGAGAAGAAGAAATCAGATAGGGGACGACATGATCCATCAGCTGCCCCAAGGACACCCATTGGGATCATTCACAAGGCACAAGGTGAAGGTGAGACAAGACTGTCATAATTGGACCTTTAGTTTTGCGTTATCAACCTGTACCCACCAAGGTCGAACCTGAAACAAGTGGTCACGCATCTATGGATTCCGATGCTGAGAACCCTGATGATGAAGGTTTGTGTAATGAAGACGAATGTTCTCCCTTGAGATGATCCAGGTATTGGAACCTCTGGAGAACATCGCCAAAAACTCAGTCGCCATCGACTTCCATGTGAGACGGCTCTTACCTGAAAAGACCATCTTTATCAGCTATCGCAAGGTAATGCACTCCAGGTACAGCAGTTCATTGGTGTATGTCAGTGCTCCAAATACCTGTTTTATAAACATTTTAGTGCAACAATGTACTGACGTAGACAATATTTCACACTTCCAGACGGGATCGGATGGTCAGGCTCACTGACTTGGTTGACACATGCCATTGTATCTGTCATAAACTATACATCATTTATAGGTCGCCGACCTGTTTTGAATTGATTTTCAGCAACCCATGCTTGTCGTAAGAGGCAAATAACGGGATCGGGTGGTCAGGCGCGCTGACTTGGTTGACACATGTCAGTGTATCCCAATTACTTGGATCGATGCTCATGCTGTTGATCACTGGATTATCTAATGAACATGACACCAATGAAGGATTTCCTATTTCGTTGTTCTAGAACGCCATCAACTTTCTACTTCTACTACGTCAACAACTAAACTAACGGGGTACAGAAACGATACCAAATCGAGATGACTGATACAAACCACCATTGTGAAAATGGAAGTGAATTTTAATAACAGGATTAAAATTCACTTTCCTTTTTCACAATGGTGGTTTCTGCTTCTTCAACTTCGACAACTACCAACTACGTCTACTTTTGTAATCATGTTGTAGACTGTTTTTACATCCTAAGTATGTTTATCTAAGCTCCTATATCTGGAGTATGCACAACCTGTGTCGCCGAGCACATGTAGGCCACTTGGTAATAGTCTATGAAATTAAGATACATGTAAAAGTAGATCAAGTCTCTTTGCTCCACGCAAAAAGAAGAGCCCGAGAAAAATATACGGACAGCCTTCCAGAACAGGCTGTCCCAAACAGGCTCCGACGATACAAATAACTCCTTTTCTATCCATTTTTCTCTGTACAACAATATTCATTCAAGTGTAACGTAGCCTGTGTAACAAGAATTCGAAGTCTCTGAGAAGTGAACAACGCCCTGTATTCACTGTAGGTAGGCGGATGTTCATAATGCCCTAGAATTATTATGTAAGGGGTCACCATTGACGTATCACTGTCACGATATCTTGACATGCTCGGATACACATACCTTATGTAGAACCTATAATAGCTGCAGGACAAATATCTAATTTTGGCACTCATGATCCCACACAGTATTATTGCGAAAGCAGCAATTTTTCACATACTTAATTTTACATGCCCCAACACGCATGCATGATCTGGATCTTGAAATAGCTATATGACGAATGTAGCTTTTTGCACTCGTCTTACATATCATATCAGGTGTATTACAGAATATACACCGGCCGAAGTGAGGGTCCACGAGCACTCCAAAAGGGTTCCTACTTTCAACTTTGTACCTTGTGAGTATGGTTTTAGTAATTTACCAATACCTTTATAAATATTCCACTAACATCGAGTCTAGGGCTTCACACATTGTCCCCATGTGGGAAATCGTACCCGGGTCTTGGGCGTAACGAACGAACGATGTAACCACTAGGCTATCCAACCACACCTTATTTGGGACTTAGACTCCTTCCCCAGTTCAAAGGATCGTGTCGCCCGGGACGGTGATATCGTGTTTAGTTCCAAGGATCAATCACTAAACTGTTGAAATATTGTTGAGTGTGGCGTTCAAGAGCAACAATACAAAAATATTCAAACAAATCTGACAATGACGAGTTTTGACTATTCATCGAAACAGAGACCACTGCGCGGTATAGATGCAACAGTTACTTAGGAATACATTACTTGAGATGAAACCTAGTATGTCACACATACTGGCACACTTAACAAGTTAAGGGTTAAGAAAAATCTGGATGCGCGAGGTCTATGGATGACAGAAATATGGACACCCGCTCAACGGGAGATTAATGTTAAGTAAAGCACAAACGCCACTTTCACAAGTTTTTTTTAATTGCCTTGCAGCGTCGGAATTGTCTAATAAGGGGCGGTGGAGTAGCATTGTGGTTAAAGTGTTTGCTCGTCACGCCGAAGGCTCGGGTTCGATTCCCCACAGGGGAACAAAGTGTGAAGCCCATTTCTGGTGTCCCCCGCCGTTATTGCTGGAAATAACTAAACTCACTCCACTTTTGGCCGACAAAACACGGACTTTTAAACATACTCACTGCCAGTGCACGTTGTTGAGAGACGGAGTGTTTTTCGGTCACAGCTGAAGCACATTTATTGCAAAAGATGCCCAGCAAAAATATGATACGTATATTGTTTTATTTTTAATGTCAAATATAAAAGAGTCGAAGGTTTAATTGCCTGTTCTGATAAATATTTTTTCATTCACTTTTACATTACTACTAAGAGGTATTGACAATTTTAGGATCATGTGTCATAAAATGATAATAATAATAATAATAATAATAATAATAATGGGATTTCAGGGGATTCCTTTAGTCCTTTGCTTTTTTGTCTGTCTTTAAATCCTTTGAGCTTTCTGCTCAATAAAGAGGAGGGTTACCATCCCGGACCTCCTCAGCACAGATCCCCAACACCTCTTACTCATCTCCTTTACATGGATGATATCGAGCTCCTTGCCAAAGGAGATTCCAATTTGAAAGAGCAGGTTCTCCTTGTCGAGTCCTTTTCTAATGATATTGGCATGACATTTGGACTCGACAAATGTAATACTCTTCATTTGAAACGTGGCAAGGTAACTAATGATGGCTCGGTCAAGTTACAAGGGGAGGAGTTATTGAGCATCTTGTGGAAGATCAGGCCTACACCTATCTTGAATGCAAGTTCGAGACAAGCTCCAGGATGCCCAGATTCAAGACAAACTTCGGGCAGAGTATAAATCTCGTTTAAAGAAAATCTGGAGCTCAGAGCTAAATGCTCGAAACAAGGTCAAAGCCACCAATACTTTTGCTGTGCCAGTCCTTTCCTATTCCTTTAGAGTAGTTGATTGGACGAAACAAGACATCCAGAGTCTTGACCGTCTAACCAGAAGGATCATGTCTGATAACAGAGCCCACCACCCTCGTTCCTCTCTTTAACCGTTTATACATGCCAATCAATTCTGGAGGTCGGGGTTTGATTAATGTGGAGGCTCTTCATGATAGAATTTTATTGTGTACTTTTGCACATATTTATTTATCAGATGATCCTCTAGTGATGCATGTGAAGACTCATGATGAAAGCAAGGAATTCCACAGCTATTTTAAGCGTGCCAAGGTTGTTGGACAGAATCTGAAATTTGAGGTTGACTTTGCTGATGGCAATGTACTGCTGGACGGTACAGCGATGGGAGTAAACCAGGTGAAGTCCTTTACCAAGTCTGCCCAGAGTCGGTCTTTTGTGGAGAAGCTTTCTGAGAAGCCATTGCATCGTGTGTACATGCAGTGTGTTGAACAGAATAGCAATCCCACCGACTCCTTCTTCGCTGGATGAAGTCGGCTGGTCTTAAATGTGAAACTGAGGGCTTCCTTTTGCTGCTCAGGACCAGTCACTTCCCACTCGTAATCGCCTAAATGTGATTCTTAAAGAGAATATTAACATGAAATGTCGACTTTGCAATGAATTTACAGAGACTGTCCAACACCTTGTCAGTGGATGCCCTTCCTTGGCACAAACAGCATATCTTAAACGACATGATGGCATGGCTCGTTGCTTTTACTACCGTCTCCGACATGCCTGTGGCTTTGACTCCGAGGTCCATCCATGGTACGACCCTGAACATGTCCAGGGCGTCATGGAAAATGATGCTTTCAAACTTCTGTGGAATAGGCCCATATACAGCCTCAGAAGAATTCCAGCTAACAAACCTGATCTTGTCCTTTTGATAAAGCCAATGAATTTATTTATATCATTGAATTTTCTGTCCCTTTTGACATCAATGTTATTGGCAAGATTAAGGAAAAGCATGATAAATATGCGGACCTCGCCTTTTAAATGTCTCGCTTGCATCCCAAGTACACTGTCGTCAGGCTCCCCATTGTTCTCGGTGCCCTTGTTTGGTACCTCCTGATCTCTTGGCGCAGATCAGGAGAGTGCCCGGGTTCTTCACCGGGAGCACAGCCCTTCTGACACTCTGGGTAATGCAGAAGGCTGCAGTGTTGGGGAGCCTTCATATTCTCCGGAAAGTTCTTGGTGGGTTCGACTAGGCAGCGTTTCCTGGGACAAGTCCCATTCGCTGTCTGGGCTGCGTGTAGAGGGGCAAGGGCCCTGAGCTGATGATGAGCCTTACCAGCCTGACTGTGCCAGGATCACCCGAACCCTCTCTTTATAATCTGCATACAATCTTTGCAATGAATCTGTAAAATAATAATGGCATGGCTTGTTGCTTTTACTACCGTCTCCGACATGCCTGTGGCTTTGACTCCGAGGTCCATCCATGGTACGACCCCTGAACATGTCCAGGGCGTCATGGAAAATGATGCTTTCAAACTTCTCTGAATAGGCCTATATACAGCCTCAGAAGAATTCCAGCCAACAAACCTGATCTTGTCCTTTTGATAAAGCCAATGAATTTATTTATATCATTGAATTTTCTGTCCCTTTGACACCAATGTGATTGGCAAGATTCAGGAAAAGCATGATAAATATGCGGACCTCGCCTTTGAAATGTCTCTCTGCTTGCATCCCAAGTACACTGTCGCCAGGCTCCCCATTGTTCTCGGTGCCCTTGAGTTTGGTACCTCCTGATCTCTTGGCGCAGATCAGGAGAGTGCCCGGGTTCTCCACCGGGAGTACAGCCCTTCTGACACTCTGGGTAATGCAGAAGGCTGCAGTGTTGGGGAGCCTTCATATTCTCCGGAAAGTTATTGGTGGGTTCGACTGGGCAGCGTTTCCTGGGAGAAGTCCCATTCGCTGTCTGGGCTGCGTGTAGAGGGGGCAAGGGCCCTGAGCTGATGATGAGCCTTACCAGCCTGACTGTGCCAGGATCACCCGAATCCTCTCTGCTGCATACTATCTTTAATCTATAAAACATAAAATATAGAGTTTGATATAGCGGCAATATCCAGACGAGTCCTGCTCAAAGGCGCTTTCGTATGAGTCTGACAAGGAAAGAGTCACTAGGAATTGTAACATGATTTGAAAAAGAATGTTTTCAACATTCCCTGAAATGCACAGATTTTCTCTGCACTTTTAATGCCCAATGGAATGTTGTTCCAAAGCATCAGACCTGCTTTTGAGAAACATTTGTCTCCAAATGTCTTTGTCCTCGTACGTGTAAACAACTAGTAACTGGCACTACCAGACCGTAGGGAACGGGAGGGTTGATGGCACTGGGTCAGTTCGTTGATGTATGATGGGCCAATACCGTGAAAAAAAAACTTTGTATACAAGCACAAGAATCTTAAATTCTATCCGTTTGACTATTGGGAGCCAATGCAGATGCATCAGAACTGAGTTATGTGCTCATATTTGCTGGTTCGAGAGATAACTCTAGCAGCTAAATTTTGTACCCGCTGTAACTTTTCAATTCGTTAAATTAACAAAGAAGAAGACAATGGGTAGAACATTGATGACCTAACTACTAGTATTTGAAAAATGAGGCATACAACTCTATGGTGCGTGTTTATTGCACACTGTTATCACGGGCGTGTGTCATAGTTATTACTTTATCTTTCAGGAAACAAATATGGCCTCTAACAACTACGAATGCAGTATTTGCGACATTATTGGTTCAAAGGAAAAGTTAACAGAGCATTTCATCCGAACCCACGTGAGCATTGACAAGGTTCCCTGGATATGCTCACTTTGCGGTTTCAAGGCTGTGTCGCGTCTTCAGTGTAGCAATCATGTAGGTCATTTTCGTCATAAAAAGGCATTAGAGCGAAACCCTGGAGGAAAACTGAGTACAGAAGATCCCAATCCCTCGTATGAAGTACAAGTTGGACGAGATATTTTCCTTTATCGTGAGGATGAACCTGTCTATCGTCACGGCGTGGACAAGGTCATCGATTACAATCATAGATCAGTCGGTATGGTTGTCGGTAATAGATCCAAAGAAGGAGGAGGGAGCACAATTGAAAGAAGAAAGACAGTGGAGGACAGAGAAGGAAAGGGCGGAGAAAGAAAAGGGAAATTGGACAGCAGAGAAGAAAACGGCGGAGAAGGAAGAGAGAAATTGGAAGACAGAGAAGGAAAAGGTGGAGGAAGAAAAAGGAAATCGGAGGAAAGAGAAGGAAGCACAATCGAAAGAAGAAATATATCGGGGAATGGAGAACAGAATGGCGAAAAAAGGAGACAAAAACACAGAACATCAGAACCAGACAAACTACAGAAAAAGCCTAAACTGACGTCATCACGGGGCAAGGACTCAAACACTTTGACCAAACTAGACCGACCAGTCAGTGACACGCATCAAAATTTGCGACGGGAAAATGGACACGTTGTAACCAACGATTCTGGCGCAAAAGAGAAAACAAAAACGAAGAACAATCTCGAAGAGGATCATGGGATCGGAATTACCAAGATCCACAACGAGGCTCAGAAGGCGACGACAGAAGAACCAGCCATGTCATTTAGCAGCGAACAAGGATATAACCTCGCAAGTGAACCTGAAGAATCAGCAGAGGTCAAGGCCGAACCTGACACTGACACTGAGGGTCAGACATCACGAAGTGGTATTGAAGGGGAATCGGAAGTCAGGGCTCCGTGGGAAGAGGGCGCTCTGGTCGAGAAGATAACTGAGCTTACCCAGAGTCTCGAACCACTAAAGAACATCTCAAAGGCCCTCATCGCTCTGGACCACCACATAAGACGCCTTTGCCTCTAGTAAACCAGATTCTTACTGGACCCCCTTCTTCAACAGCAGGCTTGGGTGCGGTCAGAAAATGACTGTGAACTCGGGAAGAAATTCCTACGTTTACTTATTGGTAAATGTTGATGATGTAGCCCTCAGCAAGCAAAAGAAATGGTAAACATGACATGTTTAGAATATTCTTTTACATTAGCATCTTGAAATACTTTTAAATGTGTGCTTCAAGCTTCTCTCTAATGTTTGGTCAGATTCTCTCATACGATCCGTGTAAATCCATTAATATCTGTCATCTGTTGACATGCCTGTCAACAGCTGTCAGCTTTTCAAAATATATATATACACACAATGTATAGTCTTAACTTTATGTGTAATTAACATGCAGTTACATATTCTTATCACTTAATACAGTGATATTTTCGATGATATTGACGTTTTTTGCCACCCCAATATGGGCAGGATCGGCTTGGTCATTTATAACCCACGTGGTCAACGTATGGGTAGTTGCATACTAATCTCGTACGTCACACAAGTGTCGTATCGCGTTGACCTGTGTCGTAACGACTTGACCTGAGATTCTAACGATTTGATTGATAACCGATGACCTCTCAATTAGGTCAAATTCTGACGTAACTAGTTTTTCATTCATAACAAACACGTGAATTCATTCATTCTACAACTTAAATGCATTGTGGAATAAACATTGCGAACGTTGCCGTGTCGCTGTTTAATTGTGAGTCGAACTGAGACATTATATCCGTCGAAAAACATAAACGCAATGTTTCCACCAGTGATGTTAGCCGAATGAAGCAACTGCAAACCAAGAAACGGGGTGCTACGGAGTAGTTTACTGTAGGAGGCTGTACGAGGCGATGACAACTGACATGCATCGTGACGTCGGTTACCAAGGCAGTGACGTCATTACAGTGTGACGTCATGCAAATATTGTACTACAGTACAAAAATTCTTCCGCAACCTCTTTATGAAACCGGTTTCGGTTTGAAGCCATAAAAATAACAAAAATACGCTATTTTGTCAATTTAATGTATGTACCTCTGCCACGGCAGGTACCTCTGCCACAGAGAAAAAATGACGATTCGCCACATCTTGCAATGTCCATTCAATATAATGTACATATTTCTTTTACTCTTTTATTTTGACGAGTCTACACATCTAACTAAACATCTTTAATAGAATGGTTTAGTTTCACTGAGAAAATATCCAAAAACATGTAACACTATTTCGATTTGCGTAGCGATCCTTTGTTTACATAGGTTGTACGGTTCCACGTGCTGTCATCGAAGCCGACGAAGAGCGAACGATGCAGCCAGTTTGATATCTAAATATGTACTGTCATAGACCTTACTGTCGCAGTTGTGGAAGAATATATATGTAACAATGTAAAACCTTATGAAGAGAGCGCAGAAAAGCTTTGGTGAGTCCAGTCTCTTCTTACTATGAATATGCGCGTTTGATTACAAACAAGAGAAAAGTCCGGTCACGTGATATGCAAATTAGCCTGTGGCAGTGATGTTATGTTAAGTCATCGCTGTAGTCTGGCAGAATGTTGACATGACCTTGCAATTTAGGTCCCACAATAGTTTTTGCATGATTTCATTCCCTCAGACACTAAAGATGAATAAACTATCGGATGCCACCTTGGCACCCTTGAGGGTTTTAAAAAAAAAGATTTAAAAAAAAAATGACCCTCTTTTGATAATCGGCAACATTTTGGTGGTTATAAATAAACACACTATGAGCTTTACAGTGATTAAATGTGTTGTATATTCTTAGTATACAACATGTTTTCACAACTGTTGCTCCACACATGATATGTGAGTTCTTTACAGTATTTAAACAAAGGGAATTATGGGTTATTTTAAAAAAAACCTCTTTTGTCCAGACAGTATCCAATCAATACCATTTTACTCTAGAATAAGGCAATTATTTTGTTGTGTAATTTCTGACATGAATATAGTTGATTTATACCCGAAAAACAGGTCAAGGATGTTATTAAATTAATTGTATGGATAATAGAGTGTTATTACAACATCTATTCAGGGCTTTAATCTTATTGTTTCATAGAATCTTATGCATGAATTATGAATATAATTATCCATTTAAAATCCATGTCCAAACTGTATGATATATAGACTGATTGTTACTTACAATGCTACAAAGTGAAGAGCTTGCATAATACAAATAATTACCCAAATCAATTTGAGTCTGTATTCATGAGTGAGAGTCATAGGCAAAGTCTGTTTCAGACTCTTGGCACAATGGATTTGAAATGTCAGTCACTTTCATTGAGCACTCTAAGGGCAGCTCTGGTGTGCTGGTTATAGCAGTCATCACATCCTGTACACTCGCAGAACATTGTACAGGGAAGTCGAGCAACAGCACATCCACACTTTGCTGAGGGTGCAGTTTTCACAACAACATTTCAGCAGTTTGAGAATGTAGTCGGAAGCTGAGCACTGAAGCACTGAGCCACTGTGTCACAGCTTCATCAGTAAACATAGAAGTAGGCACTGGTGCCAACTCAAATGTTAAGACTTGGGCAATGTTGATATCTCTCCCTGCGGCTTGAAGTCCAATGATTCTGGAGTAGATAAGATTTGTGTCATACAAATTTGCAGATCCAATCTGAACATGATTCTTCAAGACAGCCCTAGTTTTTATTTTCTTTGACAAAGGCCTATGAAATCCATCTGGCCATGACCTTTCAAATTTCTCCATTTCTTCCTGGCCTACTGCCAGTCCCTTATCAACATTCACAGAACTGTCTGCAAATCTGCCACTCACAACCTGCAACAGTTTATCTGTAGGGAGCTGTGACACATCTAATGGATCACTTGACTCTTGGAGTTTCTGGCGAATGTTTTACGAGATTCGGCCTTTGATTTCTTCTTTGTGAATTTGACTTGTTGATTTATCCTTGGTTGTCATATCAGAGATATCGTTTGACAAAACACTGCAAGTATGAAGACTCAAGGCCCATGTCTTCAGAGTATTTGGTTTTAAGGTGATGCCAATGATGCCATCTGGACCCTTTCCATATTTCATGAATGTAGTCTCAATCATCATGTCTGTCCATATCCCATTCCAAGTCCCAGGTGTATGGCGCGTGACATGTTCCCCTGTTAGAAATTTCTCAAGTTGTTCTGGATTGAGATCTTCTGCTGTTCTAAGATAGTACAGGCCACAACGTGCATAGTTCTGATGTCCAGCAGCAAAGAAGTAGGGCATCATCAACTTAACTGCAAGCAAATGGAGTGGCCAATCTGCTTCTTTCTCAGCTCTGACAAACTGTAGCATCAGTAAAACTGGCTTGATCAGCATATCGAGCCACAGTCTTGTTGTTCTGGCTTGTCTTGCTCTTTCTTCCAAGATGCTAAATAAGTCATCTGGCGTGGATACCTCTGTTAGCACGTTCCGTAATAGTTCTTCAACTAGAATTCTTAAGGCTCGTAAATTTTGAGGATATCTCTTTCCTGACATCATGTTTGCTACACTTCCAAAAGAACTTTCAAGAATGTCCGACAGTCCACTTCCAGCCATCAGTGTGCCAACACATCCAATAAAATTCATAAGGAAGTGCATTCCTCCTAGGCGTAGAAAGAAATGACTGAATCTTTCTGGGTATACCCATGTTATGTGAACTGCCACCCTGTAAAGTTGTTGGTGACATGTGAAAACAACAACATTTTGTCCAACTTGTTTAGTCAATTTGTCAGCTTCCTTCATAGCAGTTAACATGGTGTCAGGGTCAGCTGGTTTCATGTCTATCAAAAGAGTGTAAACTGATGTTGTTTTCGACCTGACTGTGTGACCTTCCCTTCTGTTCAGTGCACTGTTATAGCCGTTCCATTCTGGACAGGGGACATCTTGAACAACTTTAAACAAGAAGTCCACATCCCTAACAGTTGCACGTGATGTCGAGACGATCTGCATGGCTAAAATTTTCAGTGGTTTCACTGACTTCATGATGCAGTCCTTAGGCATGTTTGGCTTTTTGGGACCTGTGTATCATTCTACTGTGATTTCATCATTCACTTGCTGTGTCATTTCCTCTTTCTTTATCCGACGAAATGTATCTTTGTCACCAGTGTTCTTGTCATCATCAAGTGTCTGAGTTAGAAGCATTGCAAGAGCATGTGTTGATTGGAGTCATTTTGGCTGGAAATGTTGGCATCAAAGTTGTCGACTATGACTTGTACAAGGGGAGTTTCTCTTGGTGATTCCAACCTTAATCCTCTAGATGTGACATCATTTGATGCAAGGGCTGCTGACTTTTTGAATCGAAGAACTTCATCAAAGGTGCACATAATACCAAACTTGTTCAATTCTTGAATCAGATCTTTTCCTTTGATGAATACTCCAAGACTTGTCTGCAGTGGTGTTGGTTGCTTTTTTAGTAGACCAGTAATCATATTACAAATCATCAGGACTGGTAGCGCATGTTCTTCACCTTGGAGAATGTAACTCAAGAGTTCTTGAAATGTTGGACTACAACTCTCTCCTGCAATCTGGCAGTCTATTCTTTTTTTGTATTCCTCTTTGGAAAGCGGTATTTCTTTAGTCTCTTGTCGTACCTGTTTGGAAATTTTCTTCATGGAAGAAGTCAAATCATCATCTTCAGTTTCATCAAGGACCACCTTAAGGGTGTCTGTTGCAGTTTGCCGGAAGACAAGAATACTGGCTATTCCTTTTCCTCTTAGAATAATCAGTTCATCGGCAAAACACCTTGATATTTCTTCAATAAACTGTTTTTTTTTGAAAGCTTGACCCCACCACTCTCCAGGTACTGGTTGTATACTTCTGTGGAGTTTCTGATTTGTTTCCGATCAGCATTCATTGATCTAATCACATAATCAAATGCTTCATCTGAGCTTGACTCAGTTCCTTTCAATTTTGAAATGGTTAATCGAACAGATTTGGGGCCATAAAATTTGTACGATAGTTGTTGTCATGATATCTTGCTTCTGCAGCTGAAGATCACTTATGGCTCCTTCTAC